TCTGATTAGGAATTTTCTTTCTTGCTCAGTTAGTTGCAATAAAAATAATAATAATCCTTGAGAGATGCACAGAACTACTCACTGTCCTCGATTAGATATAGGTTCCAGCATCGAGTTCATGTCCAACACATTTCTCTGAGGTCCCAAAGCTGCAATAACTTCGAACTCCTTCCTCCTTTGCACCGACTGACCAGCCCTTTACACAGGCACTGACTGACCAGCCCTTTAAACCGGCAGTACACACACACACACCATGAAATACAGGCAAAGCGCAGTATACAGAGCGTGCACACACGCGCACACACACAGAGAACAATAACATGCTGACAAGCAATTAATATGCATTTGTATCAACTTTATTAGTGGTGACATACAGTGAGGGCAGAACATGCACATCACAATAATACACACCACACAATAACATACATAAATACACAGTACAATAACATGCAGAGCACAATAACACACACAGTACAATAACACACACACACACACCATGAACACAAGCACACAGAGCAGGATATCACACCACACAAGGCAGTTAAATCTCTTTTCCCTCGCTTGTGTGTGTGTGTGTGGTGGAGGTGCTCACTCAGTTGCCGAGTATGTGCTGAGGGTCTCGGAGGCTGTGGTTCCCGGGAGCTGGCTGGGTGGGCTGGTGGCGGGCGAGGGGGCTGGCCCTTCAGTCAGGATGCTACTGCGTGTCTCTGTCAGTGTGTCTGTGTTGGGGGGGAGGCTCAGGGTGGGAGTGGGGCCTGACGTAGGCTGTGTGTCGCTGGAGCCCTCCTTTCCCTCCTGGTGGTCTTTCCGACGTTCCGTCTCCTTCCTCTTGGGGAAATGCAGAGAGAAGTCTTTGGGGTGGACAGTGGGGGAGGGGAAGAGGGTGGAGGAGGGGGAGGGGAGAGGGAGGGGGAAGGGGAGAGGGCAGGGGAGGGAGCGGGAGGAGGGGAGGGAGTGGAGGAGGGGGAGATGGGGGATCTCAACAAGCTCCTCTGCTGGGGGACATCCTGCACACTCTCCTTGTGACAGACGCTGACTTTCCTGCACAGACACACTAACATTAGAACGACAACAACTTGCATTTACACAGCACCCGTCACACAGGGTAATGTCCCAGAGTAGCTTGACAGTGGCAGAGCCCGACTCCGAGTCGGGGGGGGGGGGGGGAGAGGAGAGGGGGAGGTGGCTGTGGGTACAGTCGAAGAGGGAGGTCTTCAGTCGCGACCTGAAGATAGGGAAGGAAGGGGGACAGCGGAGGGAGACAGTGACAAGTTTCAGGATGTGGTGACTGAAAGTGCGACCACTGATGGTGGAACGGAGGGCACAAGGGACAAGCAGGAGGCTGGAGCCAACCGAGCAGAGGCAGCGGATAGAGGGTGGAGGAGTGAGTAGGCTGGAAAGGTAGGAGGCTGAATGACACGGCTGGTCAAAGAAGAGGGTCTTGAAACAGGCCTTGAAGGGAGGGAGCGAGGCAAAGGGAATGTGGGATGGGGTTCTAAAGGGTGAGGGCAGAGAGTGTGGGGCGGGTGGGGTAGAGCCCGCTGAGCGGAGAGAGTGGACAGGTTGACATGAGGTTAGCAGGTGACATAGGTAGGAAGGAGCAAGATCATGGAGGCTTTGAAGGGGAAGATGAGAATTTTGAACTCTATCCTCTTGGGGATGGGGAGATAGTGGAGCCGGGCGAGGAGGTGGGTGTGATAGAGTCAAGGACTGGGGGGAGTGTGGGGAAGGTGGTGGAGGAGGGTGATAGGGTCACGGCCTGGGGGGTGGGTGTGAGGGAACGGGTGGTGAGGGGGTGATAGGGTCACAGTCTGTGGGAGTTGGGGGTGGGGTTACCTGTTCTTGAGGACGAGGTCCTGACAGGACCTGATGAGGGAGTTGATGATGGCCATGAGGAACAGCACACAAGACCCCAGCACTGCACACAGGCCCTCTGTCACCCTAGAGCTGGTGGTGGTGGGTTGGGGGGGGGAAACGGGGGGAGAGAGGGGAACACAAACAGTCATTACAGCCCAGCGGAACCCCCTCCCCACCTCTACCCTGCTAGGCTCCTCTCTCTTGGTCCCCTAATCCTCAGGCTCCTCTCTCTCTCTCCATGTCTCCCACCCCTCCCCCACCTCTCTCCCCAACTCGCTCTCCCCCTTCTCTCTCCCCTCCCCCACCAAGACTGACCTGTTTTGGCTGATGATCCTCACAGGAAGTTCGGCTCCGGTTGCGTTACGCTTGGCGCTCTGCACCATTTTGGCGATGGCCTGGAGTGTGTCTGTACACACAACAGCTTAGTTATACAACAACAGCAGCTTACATTGAAAGGAGCCCCTCTCGCAGAGCAGCCATCCACAGCGCTTTGTCAGCAAGGGCGGGCGGGGCAAGAGGGGGGAGTGTGTGAGTGAAAGAGAGTGTGTGTGTGAGTGAGTGTGAGAGAGACAAGTGTGTGTGGGTGAGTGTGAGAGATAAGTGTGTGTAAGAAAGCGTGTGTGAGGAGGGTGAGTGTGACGGAGCGAGAGTATGTGTCAGAGAGAGCGTGTGTGACCCTGTACCTCTGGGGTTGTGGCCATGATGCTGGGGGCCAGCCCTCAGTGTGTGCTGGTAGCCGCTCTTGCCTGTGCAGGTGTAGTGAAACCTCATGAAGTAGGTCTGGGACTGTTTAATAATGATGGGAAATCGACCTGCGGAGAAGGGGAGAGACAAAGAGGGTTGGGGACGATGGCACGAGATCTCCCCCACGTGGCACAATTCAACAAGAGAAGAGATTTTCATGCCCAGTGCCCTGGCTGGCAATCCCCCCCAGATAACAAAAGCAGCAGCAAATTACACTTGTACAGTGCCCTTCATGTCGGAAGGACGTCCCAGGGTGCTGGACTATCAGGGGTTTTGGATAAATGAGATAATGTCACATAGCTCAGGGGTAAGAGCCCTCGCCTCGCAAGCAAGAGGACCTGGGTTCAAATCCCGAGCAGGTCAGGACGAAAAGCTGAGCAAGTTTCCTTACGCTTCGGTACCAGCAGTAAATAGGAACCGGGTTGTTTGTCGATTGGCGGAAGGTTTTCCGGGGGTAATAAGCCCTTCAAAAACATGAGAATAATCTGGCCACTCATTCCATGATGGTTTGT